ATGAGGCAAATAAAAGCTTGCTGCTGATTCTTCTACTTGCGGAGTTGCGATTCGCGACATATGCCCTAATGATTCGTATTCCTCCATAAATTTTGTATATTGTTCTCGTAGTTGCGGTTGTCGGTCTAGTTTTCTCTCTATTGACCTAAGTCTAGTCTCTGCTTGATGTCGCGAGATTCCTAACTTCTCTACGCTATCGTTGAATGGTATCTGTACTATGTATCGTCCGTCTTCGTTTCGTCGTGTCGTGGCTCTAAACAACGCTTCGCATTCGTCTATGTCTGTCTTAGCCCCTGTCTCTACTTCTTCCACCTGCCAAAATCGCTCGATTTGGTTGTACAGATCTCGATTTGTAACAAGGTGGCATCTTTGAATTCTTTCACTAAGAGGCCAACTAATTTTTCCTCCTAGAACCCAATCCAGCTGCGTTTTTTGCCAGATCAGGTCGCTACCTGCCTTATGCTGTCCGACGCACAATAGGTGCCAAAATAAGCCTGCACCTATTAGCATATCGATTTGTCGACCGTTGTCGAATTGCGGATCTGCTAACGGTATGTGGGACGGTCTACATTTCACTAATCTGTCTAAAACTACATTCGGCATATCCTGTGTTATATTTTTAATCGCTAGACATGAAATGTTCGCGCTAAAACTGTTAACTGTGGATGTGATTCTTACGTTGACTCTCTCCTTAATTGTATTCGCCTTTCCGGCTAATCCTGATACCTGTACATCTGTGGGTTCGTATCTAATGCCTAGCTTTTTACACAGTTTGTAAGTTATAAAATTCGACTGTGACCCTGAATCTAATAAAGCTCGACATGGTATTCTTTGTCCCTGTTTATCCTCTATATGCACGACTGCTGTTGATAATACGACCTGTTCTAATGGACTTCTGTCTGAGTGCGCGACGCAGGATGTTGTTGTATTGGGTTTGGATTGTTTTGATTCCTCGGAAGTGGTCGTGTTTGAACGCGGAGCTGATACGCGGTGCAGCAGTTTGTGGTGTTTTTTGCCACATACAGTAAGGAGCATAAACTGAACCAAAGACGACGCTTTTTGTACAAATTATTTTTTATTGTCGTTTAAAATGGTTAATAATAAAAAAAAACATAATTAATATATTTTTGATAGTAACAGTGTACTTGAACAATTTTTTATTTTTC